CTCACTCTGTGTGTGTGTGTATCTCTGTGTATCTCTGTGTAGTCTTAGTTGGGAGGAACCCTCACATTGTGTATCTCTGTTGGGGGAGATCTCACTGTGTGTGTGTATGTGTGTGTGTGTGTGTGTGTGTGTGTGTGTGTGTGTGTGTGTGTGTGTGGTGGGGAGCCGTAAGGACTGTAGATGTACCTAGCCCACCAAGATGAAGAGGTCCTCAGGGCTGCCAAGGTTGCTTTTGTGTTAGATAGAAAAGTGTAATTTTAGGGCTGGGAGCTGTGGAGCTAGCTCATTTTGGGATGAGCCATCTGAGGGGAAGCATCTTTCATCCATCACTAATTACAAGCAAGGCTGGATGAGATCCTGACTCCCTTGTTCTTAGCTTCATGTTTATTCCTACCTAGGCCTGGATGGCATGAGTTGAGTGGTCGTTTAGATACCTCTTTTCATATCCCCCTCCTCATGCCAGACCAGTTCTCCTAAGTGAGTCCTCTACCCATTTCAGTCTTCCCACAAGCCAGTACTTGACAGTCCTTAATTGTTCTCTTTGTGATGTGTGTGGACATGGGACTGATAAGCCAGCCTCTGGAGGGGAAAGGATTTGGGCTAGATCGCACCTAGGACTAACAGGAAGGACAGGGACCCTCGTCCTAACCTGGAAACTCTAGAGGCATTTACCCAGGTCTCCTGGGATCAAGAAGTGTGTGAGTTGAGTGACCTGTCCTGCTTTGTCATCCTGAAGCAGGACTACTGGTAATTAGGTGTCATTCATAATTGTTTTTGATACGAATGGCCACCTAGAAGGTGACTTTGAGAAGCGTTGTCAGCGAAGGCTGGGTGGGGCACCGTGACTGACGGATGATGTCTTCCAGGAGCACTAGAGCTCTGCACAGATGGACTCGCCACGGAGTCTGTTAGCAACAATTCCCTTCTGAAGTCATTCCATTGTTAGGTTTGGGGGAATGGAAAAACCCCAAAGAGCAGCATCTTGAAGAAGATAAAAGTCTGGGTGGGAGCCCCAGGGAAGACAAGATGAAGATGGACCGAGATCGTCAGACCAGTGGCGGCCTGAGTCTTTGGTCGGAGTCTCACTGTCCAAGATAGAGGCATCTCTGTCCCGGAAAGCGGGGTGGATGAAAGGATTAGTAAATATGTCTTTCGTTTTATGTGTGTGTGTGCCTGAGTGTACCTATATGAACAACATGCATGCAAATCATAGAGGACAGAAGAGGGTGTTGGGTCCCCTGGCACTGAAATTATAGGTGTTGTGATCCACCATGTGGAGCCTTGGAACTGAATCCAGGTCCTCTGGAAGAGTAGTAAGCACCCTCAACCCCTGAGTGATCTCTCAATCACCTAGAAAAGAATTATTTTATTTATTTATTGTTGTGGGGTGTGCGTGCTTGTGCGCCCATGTAGAGGTCAGAGGACAACTTTTAGGAGTTGATTTTCTCCTTCCACCATAGGTCTCAGGGGTCAAACTCCTGTTACCATGCTCACAAGACAAAGCAAGCACTTTTACCCACTGGGCTATATTGCCAGCCTAAGAAAAGGATTATTTTTCAAAAATATTTTATTAATATTTTTAAATTCATTAATATCAATATGTTTGGTTCAAATCCACCTCCCATTCCATTCCTCCTGGATCCCCCTATTACTTTTCCCTCCCAACTTTTTGTGCTCTCTTTCTCTATTTTAAAAAATATATATATACCCTCTGAGTTTATTTAGTGCTAACCCTATGTGCCCGGATGTGGGGCAGTGTATGAGAACACAGGTAGCTGCCTGAGGCCTGAGGCCCTGAGGAAAACTGACTCCTCTTTTCCAAATTGCCATCAACTCCAATAGTTTCCCAAGTAGGCATGGGATTTCATGAGCCTCTCCCTTTTCCGAGCTGGGGTTTTGCCTGGCTTGATCTTGTACAAGTCTTACGTGTGTAGTCCCAGCCTCTGCGAGTTCATGTGTGCAACTGTGATGTCACATCTGACAAATACTGGTTCACAGTAGACATCTCCTCCCTCTGGGTCTTACAGTATTTCCATCTCCATCTTCCACAATGATCCTTGAGTCTTCGGGTGGGGAGAAGGAGGCAGGGCATATGTGATAGAGATGCCCCACTTAAAGCTGAGTACTCCACAGATTCTAATTCTCTACAGGTTGACAGGTTATGAGTCTCTGTATCAATTGCCATTTATGGCAAAAAAAAAAAAGCTTCTCTGATCTGGGTTGAGAGATGCACTAATCTGTGGGTGTAAATATAAGAAAAGGGGCAGTTTATTACTATGTCCATTTAGCAGAATAATAGTACTAGGTTCTCCTCTAATGCTTGTGACGTAGCCAGCTGGGTTTTTGGCCCCACTGGTTTGTCTTGTGATGCAGGCTTTAAACCTAATCAGAAAGTGGCTACTTCAATAACATTTATGTCACTATTACGTCATTGGACATTATCTTGCCAGGGATTATGTTACCGTATGTCACAGAGCTCACAGCTTGGTAAGACTGTTGGTCAATTTTCTCCCCTTGTAGCATGCGAAGAACCTTCCATAACTATTAAAGCTAGCCTGTATGGATGAAGCTTCCAGGTCAGTACTAGCTTGATTTCTCTATGTCCTATGATTCAGCTGTGTGGTCCCTTTGTAGAGAGGCTTTTCTGTGTCCCACTCCATCCTGCAACAGGCTTCCAAATAATCACTCAGAGGCTTATATTAATTATAAATGCCTGGATAGCTCAGTCGGTAAAGTATGAGACTGTTATTCTCAGAGTAGTGGGTTCAAGCCCCACTTTGGGCGCCAGCATGAATTCTAATTGTTCTTAATAAAAACCCAGATCCAGGTATTGGGGTAAATGCTGAAAGATCAGAGAGACAAAGGAACAAGCCATGGCCACCTCTCACATTACCAACTCCTCAGCTGAAAGGAAGCGAGCTTCTGTCTCTACGCATCCTCAGACTGAAAGGCTGAATCCTGTCTCCACCCACACTTTATGTTCCTGTCTCTACCTCCCTAGTGCTGGGATTAAAGATGTGAGCAATAGGATCTTACTGCCAAGTTCTGGAGGGTATCCAAGAGCAATGGCAATAGCCCATAATATTTTAGGGGCAGAGTCAATAGGACCCCATTAACAAACAACTTGCAAAGAAGTAATCCATACCTGGCACTGGGCTTTTTATCTGATAGACTATGGTGTCTTGGGGAGGCATTGTCCACCCACATTATAGGGTAACTATTTTAACTCCTTAAATGTATGTGTGTATATGTATTTTAGGAAGGTCATATAGTAGTAGGTTTCCATATGTCATGTTCAAAGGTCTCTAGTATTGGTTATCCTGCCCTATACTCTCTTCTCTGTCTTATTCTTCCTATTCCATTTCCCCCTTTATACCCCTTGTGTTCTTTCCTCTTTGCTCTGAACCCTGACACCCTTGGTTCCTGCCCTCTGTGGGCACTCCAGTTTGAAAGCACACATTTAAAGCTTCAAAGCTAGGGTTGGGGATTTATCTCAGTGATAGAGTGCTTGCCTAGCAAGCGCAAGGCCCTGGGTTCGGTCCTCAGCTCTGGAAAAAAAAATAAAACCTCAAAGCTAATATCCACATATGAGAAAAAACATGCAACATTTGTCTTTCTGGACCTGGGTTACCTCATTCAGAATGAGTATTCTACTCGATTCATTTACCTGGGAATTTCATGAGTTCATTTTTTTTTTTACAACTGAATAACATTCCATTGTGTATCTGAATCATATTTTCATTATCCATTCTTCAATGGATGGACATCTTGGTTGTTTCCATCCAATGGCTACTGTGAATAGAACAGCAATGAATATGGATGAGCAAGTATCTCAGTAGTAGGATACAGAGTCCTTGGGACTATGCCCAGGAGTGGTATTGCTGGATCATATGGTAAGTCTATTTCTAGCTTCTTGAGGAACCTCCACACTGATTTCCCCAGTGGCTGCACCAGTTGGCACTCCTACCAACAGTGACTTAAGTGTCACTTTCTCCCTACCCATGCCAGCATTTGCTGTTCTTCGTTTGCCTGACCTTTGCCATTCTGACTGGGGTGAGATGAAATCTCAAAGTAGTTTTAATTTGCATTTCCCTGATGGCTAAAGATGTTGAACATTTGAAAAAAAAATGCTTGGCCATTTGCAGTTAATCTTGTGAGAACTCTGTTTAGTTTCATGCCCCAGTTTTCGAATTTTTTTTCATGGTGTTAGTTGTTTCAGTTCTTTCCATAGTCTAGACACCAACCCTCTCTCAGATGTGTAGCTGGTAGAGATTTTTTCCATTCTGTAGGATGCCTCTTCACTTGAATGATGGTGTCCTTTGCTGCATGGAAGCTTTTTTTTTTATTTCAAGAGGTCCCATTTGTCCATTGTTGATCTTAATGCTACAGGGTCCTTTCCAGAAAGTTCTTTCCCATGTTTATAAGTTGAATCATATTCCCTGCTTCATCCTCTAGCAGAGTCAGGTTATCTGCCCTTATATTGAGATCGCTGGTCCATTTGGAGTTATGTTCAGGGTGAGGGATAATAATTGAATTTCAATCTTCTGCATGCAACTGCAATTTGACCTGCACCATTTATCGAAGATGCTCTCTGAGAAACGTATTATTAAAGGGCATTTTAAAAGTAGTATAGTGACTGCCAAATATGGAAAATAAATGCATGGTTAAGATTTCGTTAGTTCATTTATGAATGGGGGACCTGGCTCTAGGAAGAACTGAATGTACATAGGCAGGCCATCAGTACTGTGGAAGCAAGTCAACAATTAGATGCAGAATTGATCAATATCCACAAGCTTCTCCGTTGGACGTGGTTTGTGCTTCTAGAATTTGTACTTGGCCTTGTTTACAGCATTCTTTTCCTCACAGAGCTATAAAATGACCCAAAGAAAGCAAGCGTGGGATAACATAAAGGTTTGCATGGGATAACACAGAGATTTGCACTGGATGGAACGCCGTTAACATTTTTGTCCATTTCCAAGTCTCATGATTTTTGTGTGTGTGATAAGATGCAGTTGCAGATACATGAAGAGAATACAGCTGCTTGCTCCTAAGGAAAGCCCCTAAAAGTCATCATGGATGCACTTGCTTAGACCCAATGGCCAGAAGTTCGTCACATGGCCATCCTAGGTTGTGAGGGCGGTTAGGAAATGTGGCGTGCATGTGTTCTGTTCTGTAGGGGACCATTGACATTGAGTGCATCCAGTAGCCTCTACCTCAGTCTTCTGTGGTTGATGCAGCTGTATTTTTGGGTTAAAGACAATGAGAGATAACTAGAGTATGTCAGGTGACCCGCAGTAGATCTATACAGTGGAATATGGTATAGCCCTTAAAATGAAGCAAGGGTGTATGTACTGACAGAAGGCTGTCCAAGATCAGTGTGCGCCAGAATTCTCACACACAGCGTGTGTATAGAAAGCTATTTAGGTTTGGAAAGAAAGGTAAATATGCTTATTAATGTGTAGATTGTCACTGAAAAGGAAAAAAAAAGGAATAGTAGTCTCTGGGTAACTGAGGTCCAGAGAAGGGAGGGAGATTGTCTAACCTTGCAGTAAATTTGTTTTATGTTCTCCTTGAATTGTGATCATGCTCATGTGTTCTCAGTTGTTGATCAAACAAAATAAAATGAAATAAAAGTCACCATCTCTGTGTGACTAAGGAAACTCGGAATTGGCCTGAGTCTGGAGAGGAGGTACAGCTTCTAAATTGTTCAAAACAGATTGCCCAATTGTGGGGGAGAGGAGTGTGGATTCTTACAATAACAACATATGGGAGGGAATTATTTCCCTGAATTCCCTGAACTCTTCTGTGATTCCTGAATTTCAAACCACATATATCGACGTGTTTTAAACACTTAATAATATCATTTTAATTTTATTACTCTGTGTGTGTGTGTATAGGCATGTGTGTGTGTGTAACTGCACACATCAAGGCCAAAGGTTGGTGTTGAGTGTCTTTTTCAAGTGCTTTCCGCTTTGTTTTTTGAGACAGGGTCTCTCGGTGAACCCAGCTGATCAAGAAGCCCTAAGCATCCTCCTGGTTCTACCTCTCTCTCTGTGTTGAGATTGCAGATGTGTGCCGTCATACTCAGTTCACTTTCATGTGAACTCATGTCCTCATCTGTGTGCAACAAGCCCTTTACCTACCATACCATTTCTACAAATTCCTTAGTAATATCTTTAAACATTAAATACAAAGTTAATCCTGATGGTGACTATTACAGATAAAATTCACACCTCCACACATGGAGCCTCCTTCTGTTTATTTATTTACCCATTCATTCCTTCATTCGGCCCTTCATTGGTTCCCATCTGGTGATTCAGCCGTAGGGAAAGATCTTAAACCAATTTGTAGTCATTTCATCTTAGAGTGGGAAGAAAAAGGGCCAGCAGACCGACCGGGCTTTGGTCTCGGCCTCCACCCCAAGCAGCAGTGACTGTTACTGTGTCCTGGGCCACTGAGTGAGGAGTCCGCACTTGTAAATGAGGTTAGCAGCACTGTCCTACATGCCCTACAGCAGCATTCTGGGAGGGGGTGGGGTGGGTGGAGAACTGCCAGGGCTTCTGAAAAGATGCAAAGCATCATTCAGTTACAAAGGGTTGTTTCCACTCCCAGAGAGAAAGGAGGCCCTGGTTTGGGAAGCTCTGTCCTGGCCAGCAGAAGGGCAGTTTGAAATGTAAAGAAGCAATTGGAATTGTTGATGTTGACCTGTGAACTGATGAAAACATGATGTAGGGAGCATTGGATATGGTGGGCCGTACAGGAGGCCAAAGTCTGTGATTGCAAAGAGCTAAAGCCTATGGTTGTGACTGCCCTCTTACCTCCAGGGGGACCTCAGGCATGACGGCACCCCTGTGTGCCTGGAGTCCACTCCTGGACCACGTGGGCAATGTTAGTGGTGTTGTGAGGATTTAGTGCGGTAGAGGATGTAAAACATTCACGAGAGCAGCGCCTGACCTGGAGGCGCTGCCAGGAAGTTATAGTAACGGTGTCTAATCAGTAGGTTGTGGAAGTTAAAGGTGCCATTGACCTTTAAAGCACCCAGCGTGGGAACAACCACGCAGGTAGGTGGTGTCACGGGAGTTCATGTAGAATTGTTAATGGCATTTTTCTCTGTTCTTGTTTAACCTGCAGTTTAGTGGAGGGGAGAACCCTGGGAAGCCACATGCTCTAGCGAGCCATAGTGTCCTGACCGAATGCTTCAACATCGAGTGTATGTATTAGAGTTAGGGAGCCTTGTTCGTGTGAGAAGTTTTTAAGCTTGATTTAAAAAAAAAAAAATGAAAATACAGAAAAGACAAGACTGGAAGAAAACGGCCACTGAAATTCCATTTCTAGGATTTCCTGGCTCTGCTGACAGCCTAGGAATGAGCTCTGTTTGCGTTGGGGTTAATATGTGTTTATAATTGAGTTCCAGGATTCAGAACTCCAGGGAATGCTGCATGACCTCACCACTGCATTAATCACCAGCCAGGAAGCCGCACACCTTCCTTCTGCGCTTACCTAACTGGACTCTCCAAGGGCCAGGGATGGGCTCACTGGCTTCTCTTGGCCAAGGCCTTCCTGGCCACGGTTTATAGTTTTGTTTTGTTTTTTAGGACCTTAAAGTGACTGGGTGAGTGCATTAGCAGGGAAGGGCAGGCCGGGGTTAATGGCTACGGGCAGATGGCTCTCTATCGAAATTTTCTGGTAAGAAGCAGATGCAGATGCTAATGAAGGGTCATGTCTCTGAGCAGCCGTGACAGAGAGAGATTCTTTCTGCTTTCTCCTTGCTTTCTAGTCCTGTG